GGGACTTTTTAGTGTTTTGAGAAGAGTAGATAGCTGATCACCCCACTTCAGAGGATGTTTGAAGTTGTTGAGGGGGTGGGGGTGAGCACACTACAGCCATCGGTCTGGCTGCCTGTTTTGTAAATCACGTTTCACTGGCACAAAGCCACATCCATTTCTATGTTTTGTGTGGCTGTTTTCATGCTACAACAGCCAAGCTGAGTGGCTGTGACAGAGAGCCTGGATTCTGCAAAGCCAAAGATATTTATAACTGCTTCTTTAATATTGAAACCAACTTGATAATAAACTATTAAAATTTTTTTAAAAATAAAAAGAAAGAAACAGAAAACGTTTGGGGTGCCTGGGTGGCTCTTTCGCTTGAGCTTTTGATTTTGTCTCAGGTCATGATCTCATGGTTCTTGGGGTCGAGCTCTGGGTCGGGCTCTGTGCTGACAGCTCAGAGCCTGGAGCCTGATTCATATTCTGTGTCTCCCTCTTTCTCTGACCCTCCCCTGCTCATGTGTCTCTCTCTCTGTCTCAGAAATAAATAAAACATTTAAACTGATGAATGGATCAAGAAGATTTGGTGTATCTATACAATGGAATACTACATGGCAATGAGAAAGAATAAAATCTGGCCATTTGTAGCAACATGGATGGAACTTGAGGGTGCTATGCTGAGTGAAATAAGTCAGGCAGAGAAGGACAGATACTGTATGTTTGCACATATAGGGGGATTAGGAGGAAGTTAACGGAAGACAAAGCAGAAGAAGGGGAAAATAGTTGGGGAGAGTGAGGGAGGCAAACCATGAGAGACTCTTGAATGCTGAGAAGAAAATGAGGGCTGGTGGGAGTGGGGAAGGGGGGTGATGGGCATGGAGAGGGCACTTGTGGGGATGAGCACTGGGTGTTACATGGAAACCAACTTGATAAGAAACTATTAAAAATATTTAAAAAATAAAAATAGAAAACGTTTGCTCACTCCCGGTCAAATGATGGGAGGGACGAGTGCTAGTAGCATTGAGTTCTCAAGGGGTCCGAGAAGGAAAACATAGGACGGTGAGGGGGATGGTTCTGCACAAAGAACGATTGTCCCAGCCAAAATGCCAATAGTGCTCCTTCTGGAAAAACCCTAAGATCCTACTATGTTTCTGGTATACTTCTAAGGGGTAAATTGGCCAAAGTTTCTGCTCTCATGGGGCTCACAGTCTAGTGTGTGTGTGTGTTGGGTGGGGGGCCAGGGCGGAGATACACAGCTAGTAAAAAGACAAATAATCAATATAGTTTCAAATAAAAGCTGGGAAAGAAAGCAAAATAGACTTGTAAGGGATAGAGTTTCGCAGTTGTGACATTATTGACATTTGTAACACTATTGCGAGATTATTTTTTCTCCTGGGGCTGTTCTGTGGATTGGAGGGTGTTTAGAAGCATCCCTAGTCTCCACTGGAGGTCAGTAGCTCCCTCTCCCAGGGATAACCTCCGATCAAGTCTCTAGATATTACTGAGTGTCCCGTAGAGAAAGAATCATCCAAGGCAAGAGCCAGTGGTTTAAAGAGTAAAAGGAGAGACCACCACAGTATATAACACGACCAGGGAAACAATTTTAAACTGACACCTATCACAAGAGTGCGTAAACCAGGTAAAGAATTGGGGAACAAGTATCATCAAAAGTAGGTATAGCACGTGCAAAGGTACTGAAGTGGGAACTAGCATAGAGATTATTGGGTAGGATGAGCAGGGGCAGATGTGGAGATGATGGGGCTGGGCGAGGACACAGCCTGAGGGATGTGAGACCTGGTTGTCAGTCTTGTCTACACCGGCGAGGAAGAGCGCCTTGGCCAAGAAGAGGCACACGCAGAGGTGCAGGTGGAGGTAGGTGTTCTGGTTGCGAATGGCATGACACAGGAGGAAGGTGGCGATGGCCAAGACGAGACACACCAGGGAGATGATCAAGCCCACGTGGCTAATGATGTACAGGGAGAACTCCGTCTGTCAGGAAACAGATACATCATTCAGAGAGGGGCCAACATCCCTCCAGGCAGAAAAAGAATTATCCAGACTCCTGAAAGGGTTCGAGGACATTTTCTCCTTCGACACTCAGAGTGAAGGAGGTGCTGTCCATCGCCATCCTTTGCCCTCCATCAACACCCATTCCCATCTGGTCATGTGCCTCACCCATGCCATACCAGGGCAGGGTGTCTACAAACTACATTTCCCAGAATCGCCTGGGGGTACGGTGTCCTTCAGGTTTCCCAGAGAGATGTAAGCATGAGGGTTTTGGAAGGCAGAAAGGAGGGAGCCACCAGCCTTCTGTGGACAGGAGCAAGCGATGGCTGGGTTCCGTGCTCTAGCTGTCCCCTCTTCCGTTGGCAGCAGCAATTTCTGACCTCTGGTTTACAGTTGCAGAGGGGTGATCTCCAAGCCAGACCCCAGGTGGCAACCCCTGACCTCAACCTCTTCCATCCCTCCCCGTGTTTTTGTGACCATCCTGTCCCCTGCCCGAAATACCTAGAGTGATCACCGTTTCCTGCACTGAACCAACACTGCCACACAGGCGTTCAGGGATGCCCCGATTTCTGGGAGCAGAAATGGCACACTGAGCCCTTCCCCTATGCCATCAATCATAACTGATACAAAAGTTTTCAGTTCCTTCTGGGAAGATGTGCCAAGGCACCATCTCACAAGCTACTCCCTATGATTCTGTTACGTGGTGGAGAAGAGAACGGACTATCGTTCTGCCAGTTCCTAGTTGTATGAGCCTGGGAAAGACACTTAACTGCTCTGTGCCTCGGTTTTCTCATCTGTTAAAAGAGGATCCTAATGAATATACTAAATGATACTAAATGGAAAGACTTCAAGTGCTCACAGCTGTGCAGGGAACACACTACCTGCCCTCCACTGAGTCTACTCCACTCACCAAGGCTCGCTTCACCCACCCTGCCCCGCCCCATCACTAGCTCTCACTGACACACTTCTGGATCCCATTGCACCACTTCTCACCCCATTTGGTTAGCTTTGTGGAAAGAGACCTCTGGAGACAGTCTGTCCTGGGTTCAGGTCTCATCTGCACCCATTTAGTTTTCTGAGTAAGCGGGCTATGGAGCCTCAGCCCCCAT